TTGCCGGAGGAACCAGCTGAGAATCAGCGCAATGCCAAATAATTTGGTCACCAGTAGTTGAACAAACACTGTATTCAGCTGCAAAATGGTTGGTTTGAAAAGAAACCAAGGAGAGTGATTAAATGATGGCAATGGGAATGGGGTCCTTGGTGTTGTTTTCATGCTTGTTTTGCTACTGCCTTTGATGCTTTCGGGATCTTCATCCTCTGTTTCAACTGTTGCTGCTCTTTATTTAAGCATATTCRGGTAGAGAATATTACTTAAACTCTCAAAAATGGATTGAAATTAAACGTTATGATACTTCAAGGRCCAAAATAGAACAAAACTCAAACACCGCAATAAGATTTAAACATCTATGTTTTTGTGTTCTTGGATACAAAAAAGGTTTCATGATCATGATCTACATTTGTGGCCTTTATGATTGTGATTCCTTTGAGGTGGCTTCTTAGGTAGTGTAAAACCATTCTTTATACATTTATCATATTATCACTTTTTCAACCAGAAGTAAACATAGTGTTTAACCAAATTCTAAAATATTAAAATTGAGAGTTTAAAAGTTAAAAAGACAAAATAATTTAAATATAAGGCCGGTTTATTAACAATTTCATATTTAGCTTTCTGTTTTTAAAATTATGTTTGCTTTTTCATTATTTTTTTTGATATATTTCTCCAACCTTCTTCAAAACACGTAACCAAATTTTAAAAACAAAAATAAATTTTCGGAAATTATTATTCCTTTTTTTTTTCAAAATTTGACTGAAGTAATGGTTGTAAGCTTGATTTTTAAAAACAAAAAATAAAAAATAAAAAATAAAAAGGTATCAAATCGGGCGTAAGTTATTTTAGGGATTAAAATGAAAATGAAAATGTTAAAAATACGGTGTAGGCATAAAACTGGAAAATAGATAAACTTCTTGACCGGAACCATATTTTAATCTATTTTCAGGATAGTTTTGCATTGTAGAACCTAAATTAAAATCAACGTAAACGAATCAGCTGATTAATGCCTTTCTATCTGATTTAAAAATGATGAGATTAATCTGCGAAAAGTGGCTGTGATTAAGATAACTTGGATGGAGCTCTACTTTGAATAAGTGACCAATTTATGAAGCTTTATTATAACTCAAAAACAGAACAAGTACTCAGCGAGCATTCATAACTCATGAATAGTAACTCGCTGCAACTCCAGTAAGAAAAYGACGACAGATTCGACCACCTTATACTTACCAAAGACGATCGTCATCCTATCAACGACGCTCACAATCGTGCTTCTTAGACATTCAAGTAGATTTTATAGATATAGTGAACATACCATCGGTGTTCTTCCATATCCAAGACTCTGTTACATCGACCAAATTTGCTTGAAGAAGATCCCGAGCAGAAGATGCCACTCAGAAACTTTTATCAACCTCCTCGTCACATTCAACCGAAAACTTCCCTGCACCATGGCCACCAATCTTCCCAAATGACCCTATAGCCGATAAGCTCTTGAAGCTACTGCTRCCCTCACTGAAGTTCGACTTCCTCGACCGCCTTGGTTTCGATGCACCGATTTCAGGTTCTGGATTATCAGTCACCTTGATCTTTGCTACAAGTAGTTGAGTAATGCTGCTTCGACAAAAYGGGCAAAGCGGGACAGTAGGACAAGTGCTTGAGGTATTTGGCTTCTTGTAGCAGCATAAAGCTAGGGTGCAATGAGCACACATTTGATGACCGCAAGGTTGGACCTCTAAAGTGCAGGCCTGTTCAAAGCATATGCAGCATAACTCGACATCGCACCCCTGTTCGGAAATTTTAACAGATGAATACAAATCAGAATACATGCAAGTTTGATGAAATTATATCAATATGCTTCATTCAATTCATTCAATGACAGTCACAATAGATTGTTACAACTTGGAAGTTCGGTGTTTTCGGGTATATGGATGTTGTGTTTCGTGTTTTCGGGTATAGGGATGCTTTCCTGCCCTAAACTGTAGCAGAAAATGGAAGTCCAAGAAATATTCAAGCATAGGTAAGTGGTAGTAGTGTCATGTCATTTGTTAACTTTGAAATCATAATTTAGAGCAAATGCACAGAGTTCTTTCTACTGTAATGGACCTAATGGTAAAAACTCAAACATGCCATTAAGAATTTATTTTCTTCAACAAATTTTATGCATTACTTTAGAATTGCCTCAGATAACTATATATTGATACTCGAAAGGGATCTCGAATGATATGAATCCTCAACACAACAGCACTAAATTTGAGAGAAGGAATCGATATTACCTCAGATTCTGCATCATCCAACTCAACATCAGATTGCAAAGGAGATGGAAGTGAGAAGGAATTCTCCTTCAATATGGCCTTCTCTCTCTCCATGTTTGCTTCCGCCAAGGCCATCTCTAACAGAACTTTTGCCTCTTGGTTTAGCTCATTGATGAATTTTAATTTTGATGGCCAGACAAGAGGTTCTGCTGATGAAGGATTCAGCAAGGCCGCGCATGCCCGGTTCTTGCGCTTCATAGCAATCGAGTAAGGTATTCTCCTGCGATCATGTGTTGATAACCTCAAAAAATTAAGATCCTCAACAACTGCTGTTAAAAATTTCCGAGACACGGTCATTGAATTATAATTACTTTAGCAATTTCTCACAGAAGCTTCAACAACTCCCATCTGAAGACCCCAAAGAAATTATTCTCAAGCACATGGGATTAGTAGCCCCTGTGCGCGGGTGAATAACTCACATACTACATGTAGGCTTAGCTTCAACACTTGAAGCTATTTTAGCCTAACCAATGAACCAAACAACCCAAGACTTGAAAAAAGAGCTCAACAAAGGAGGGAAAAAATGGAGAAATATGCAGCTCATCATCGTGTATGGCTGCAGAACAAGAGTAATTAATTAATGGAACTTGCTAAAAAGCTTACCCGGCTGAATCCACTTGTAACCTTTCTGCTCCCCACGCAAGCAATTCCCGAACACATTCTAAAGAGCCGCTTCTAGCAGCTAGATGAAGAGGCGAACTCCCGGGATAGCTGCAATTCAACGTACCTCTCTTAACTTGAATAAAAGATCATGCGTATACAAATACAATCTACATCATAATATGCTTAGATAAATTATTTACCCATAAGCACAAGTTAAAGCACAAACAATAGCCCCATTCGCCAAAAGGATCCAAATGCACTGCGGCTGTCTTTGGCGTGCAGCTATATGCAACGGAGTAGCACCTCCTCCATCTCGAATGTTCACGTATCTGATAAATCCCCTGCCAACGACGYCCAATTCAAGGTAAATTAAGTCACCAAAATGCAAGAGATCGAGATCTAAAGCAGCAAGAAACTAACCAAGTGTCTGCAACAGGAGCTGAATGGGCAGCATAAATTATGGCTTGTAGACAATCTGAGTGGCCATAATAAGCAGCATAATGCAGGCAGGTTCGTTGATTTAGAGAATCAAACATCAGTATCTATTGAAATTATAAAGAAAGAGAACAACATATTGTTAGTAATTATTCTGTAATTGAAATAAGCATAAACCAAGAAATCTTAATAAATCATACAAATTGGGACACAAACGTTTGCTCCTGCATCAATAAGTCTCTCCACACAGGATATCTTCCCATGCATTGTAGCCAGCATTAATGGGGTCTAAGCCAATCACAATCAAAATCAAATTAAACAAAAAGACAGAACAGAGAGCAAAGAAAATAAAACTGTATTGACAATTTTAGTGATAAAATTAGTACAAATTAATTCRATGGAAGACAAAGTAGAGTTGAGATTCTTACCTGTTTGTTGCGATTCAATATATCAGGATTCACAGACCGATCCAARAGCATAGAAAGAATCTGATTTGTCAGCAAAAAAATTCCACGAATTAGAAAAACCCCATCAGACACAAATATCCAAATTTTCCTGGAAAGTTGAAAGGAAAATGGATTGCCAAACAAGAAAATGAAAAAACCAGAGACAACCCAGACCCACCTCGATCTGACCACAGGCGGCGGCGATATGCAGAGCAGACATCCTCGTACGAGGAGTGGTCAGTTCCAAGACAGTTGGATCGGCCTCTACCATGGCCTTGACGACCTCCAAATCCCCATTCTGCACAGCTCGGAACAGCCCATTTTCATGGCGTTCGCCGCAGCTGAGGCCCTGACCCATCACCTCTCCGGCCGGATTCCACTGTCAGCACATGGAGAGGTGGCCAGCAACTGATTCACGCGCCACCGGCGTGCGGTGGTTGGCCGGAGTCGTTGTGCTGGCGGATTGGGCGGTTGCTGTCGCTGAACGCTGATTGTGGAGGGGAAATTTTTTGGTGAGGAAATTGGTGCGGGAGTGGGCCTTCTTCGGCAGCTTGACCCTGTGTGAATTTATTGACTATTAGTGTCCGAATTTTGACCACTTTTCCTGTGAATCCGAGTAGTGTATGTTTTCGTAATTTAAAATTAAGAAGAAAAAAARAAGACAGAATTGCAGTCAATGTATTATTATTATACATTAAATCTCAAGTGCTTTTGTTTTTCTTTTTTCTTTTCCAAAATTTCAAAAGAATTAGGCCGGATGGTTGGTGTCGGTGTTGGTGCTAAGAAGTTTTAATTTTTCTTATTTTTTGAGAAATTAAAACATATTGATATTAATGCTACTTAGGTTTTGTTTTAAATATTGTGATTTCAAATGACGAAATAAATATTGTGAGCGTTGGTTTTAAAAATGGAAAAAGAATTAGTCTTACCCATCATACATTTCCTTCAAATCAAGTCAACTAGTTACYATCATGTCTAGTTAAGTAAGTCACTTTCGTATCACCAAGCAACTAGCTTGATCAACCAACTTAGGARATCTACAAGATAGTAAAGTTACAAAYTTTAGAGAAGTGTTTTAGCGTGGACGCTAATTAAGAATGAATACGGTTYATGCCCACAGAACATTAGAACTTTTCCTAATATGATGCTCAAAATAAGATACAATAATCATTATAGTAATATATATGGTTCATGGTGAGTTAATTTGTCATCCAAACAACTTAACCCAACCCARTTTTTATTAATATTTAACCAGACTCAACTAGCAACTTGTGAAATTGGCGTTCGATGTGTTTAGTCATATTATATACCACAAGTAACCTGACGTGATTAAACRTCACATATATCACACTTACTTTCTTACAAATACTCTTCGATCACACTCCTATTTTCCAAATGTTGATATCGTTGATCCAATTTTGGTGCCGTACACAATTCCCTACCCATTACCATCCCTAATTTTGTTACTCTAAAGGCGATGAATTAAAAATGTCATCTTTGAGAGAAACAATGGAAAATAAGAGGGTACAAGTGAAATATGAAAGTTGTATCTTTCGGCCAAAAAAAAAAATTATTCTAAAGAATATATAGATTTAAATACTATTTTGCGGTAATTGATGTATTTTSAATTTTTGTTCATTTTAGTCAAGTACTTTTAAACGTCTATTTTGACTAATGTATTTGTAAAAAGTTACTATTTGTGCCCYTTCGTTTTCATATCTCATTTCTTTCGATCATAATTTTAATACAACGGTTTACTTACTAAATTTCTTTAAAATGTAGCTATAAATTTACATGAAATATTTTSATTGTGTATCAAATTTGTGTTAAAATTTTAAACTAAATGGATCTTTTTTAAAAAATACCAATACCAAAACGAATATAATGAAAATACGGGACTAACATTGTTAAAAGAAATTACACGTACCAAGATTAAACCATATATCGCCAGCCCAGGCCCAAATCCAACTCTACGGAAGCCCAGCCCAAATTCGACTCTCAAGGCAGCCCAAGCCCAAAACGAAGCCCTCTGTCTCTCCCTCTCTCTCACAGCATCAGCAGAGCAGTACTGCACCAGTCCCACTCCCTTGAAACTCGGAAGCCATCGCCAGAAGCTCCAGTCCCTCGGAAGCTCAGCTTTCGCTCCGCTCTCTCGAAAGCGCTCGCCAGTCCATGCGTTAAGAGCTCGTAATTTCTACTCTACAGAAACGAATCAGGTCACTCGTATTTCAGACTTAAGAGGTTTGCTTCATCTTTTAATGAGCACCTTTTTATSTGATCAGAATCTGGGCAATAACGGTGTTATTTCGGTGGCTGATTCTGGGAAATGTAACTCATAGTGCCTCATTTTCCTTCTTGAACTTGATATCCAAATACATATTCAAGCATTCCGGATATTTCTTGGTATTTTGTAMTCGATACATGTTTACTTCTTATATCACACGGGATTTGGGGATCTAACTAGCTTCATGAAACGTTCACATGTCTGATCATTTCTGAGGATTATTTCTCCTTCAATTTAGCACTAGAAAGAGCTAAACTAATTGTGGAGATGTTTTGAGGCTTTTAATAGTTGAGGAGCCAACCGGGCAATTTCCAGAAACATGAACATGATTTGTGGGCAAGTGCCCACCCTGGTGATTCCTCGAGTTTCAAATTAACAGTAGTTATTATGGTTGAAGTATTGGTTGGTGTCCTTGTTTAACCCTTTTTTTTGTTTATTTTTTTATAATTTGTTTCAGTGTTTTCTTCTGTGTAATTAGGGCCTTCAAGTCTTCGTTGGAACATTGGTTTTGCTGGTGAAGTAACGGGAGAGCAATCATGGATGGTAAGTTGACCATGCACTCTAACAATAGTTAGTGGTAGTTCTCTTTGKTAAATAGTTTCTGATTGAACTCAGCATATGGTAAAGAAATAAACTTCATTTGCTTCTTCTGTTTTTTTAACTTTTATTTCTGTGTGCCATGCGGGGGTTGTTTTTGGTGCTGAATTCTAATTTGTGTTCTAGGAATATGCACTTATTTTTCAATGTATTTATTATTCCAAAGATTGCTTCTTTGATAAACGTTGACTGTTGAGGAATAACCATCCCGTTTAAGGTTGATTCTGTATATTTCCTATGCTTCAAAACTATTGGCTATTCTAAATTTGGAGATCCCCGTGTGCAATCGAGATTTGTCATTTGGTATGTATTTCTGTGAGATGACTTGTGAGATTCGTTTTCTGTCTGATTTTTATTCATGTTTTAGTGCAAATGGCAATATTTAATGACGAACATCATGAATTTTTKATTTTATTTTTCCTTTTTCAATCAAACAATTGCAGCTATAGATAAGTGGTTCAATTTCATAGGCTGGTTTGGGACAATATCAATTTTTGGATTTTGGACTCTCTCAAACCCTTTTGTTTTCTTAATATCCCTGTGTGCATCAAATTAAATTATGATCTCTTGTTGTTTGCAAATGTATATACAGAAGTCAAATGATTGTTTAACTTGGTTATTGAAATTGTTTGAGTAGAAACAGAGCTATAATTGGCTAACTTTCACCATTTTGGCTTCAGTTGACTCGCAACCAACCATGGAGGAAACCATTTTGGTGGGTGATGATTTAATGATGGGGCCGCCATCACCTATCATTCCACCTGAAATTGCATCTCACGTGCTTGAAGGTGTTGATTTATGTGATGGGATATTGAGAAATCTCTTTTTATGTAAGTTTTATTCTTTACTTGTAATTCTCGTTATCTTTTATAAGCTGATCTTATATAGTTACATAGAATTTAAACTTGCTTTCCTATCTTGCTTTATAGGCTTGCAAATAAATGATATAGAACCTTTCTGTCAAGATGAAATAGCTGTTTATCGACGGTGTGCTGAAAAACGGGTAAGACTACTGTTTGCATCTGTTTTTAATCTCTCTTTCTCTAGTTTAAGGTTTATTGAAACAGAAGTTCAAGATGACAGTTAATATTCTGCTTCCAGATAAGTATTGAAGGAAGAATGAGATTGGGAATCCATTAAATTCAAGGCTTCCCTTTGGAGTTCTGGCTCTAACCTTTTTTTATAATCCCCTTGATGCCCTTTTGGATTGATTCTCTATCTCCCATTATATTTTGTTTTTGCCTTGCTAAAGAAGTTCAGTTTCTTATCTGAAAATGATGCCATTTAAACTATTCTTTGACACCTACCTAATTACATGATGCTCTTCGATAATTACATTTTAGGATAGAGAACTAAGACAACGGCTTCAAGACAGTGAACAAAAATTAGGGTCATCAATGCCTCTAGATGCAGCAAAGGAAAGAGCTACACAACTTGAATCAGAAGTTACATTATTGGAGAGGTACGCCAGTACAGCACTCTCCAGTATTAGGGTTACAATCACCAATCGTTATTATCAATTCTGAAACTTGTGGTAGACTAGAGGCTGCTTCTTCTTGTTAATTTTCGTGTTAGTTTCATTAAACTGGTTGATGATCTTCAACACAAATTAATTCCCTCCTCGTATATCTTAAGGCCACCAAGGGTGATCAGTATATGTAAAAAATCTTTCAAGAACACCTCTTCTATATAATATACCTGTGGTTTCTCAGGATAAAATCTGGAGCCCTTTCTATAGTTTGTTTGATAAAATTGGGTATACTCCCCTCCAAATTTCAAGATCTCCTGGTACAAAACATTTTGAGTGATCTTAGGAACAAAGCTGCTATTTATGGATCAACGTGGCTTATAGATTGGATGTGATGGTTAGAAAGGAACCTTCCTTCTTTTGAAGATTGATCCACGAGTGGGAGGATAAATTGAGAATCTTTTGTTATTTTTGGCTTCTATATTGGTTTCTACGTCAGTTCTTTTGTAATTACTCATCATTCTTGATTCACGCCAATTGAAGACGATTCCTTTTAACCGTCTCGGCAACTTTTAGCATGGAGAATATCTTCCTCCTTTTTGCATACTGTTTTCAGAATGTTTCTTATAGATCTGCGTTTCTGGTCTGGTAGTGTTCATATTTCCATTCTGAGGCTCATTTGCAAACATTTTTTGTTTCATGCCCCTAACTTCACTCTGCAGACGCTTGATTCTTGCTAGTGGACTTGAAGGCGTTGAAGGCTTCCGTCAAAGATGGAGTTTGCACGGTCGGCTCACCGATACGAAGTAATCTCGATCTTCCTTTCAGCTACTGGTTTAGTACATTGAAGCCATTTTCCTGAGGAATTCTATCAGTTCTCTAGCTATAGGATTTTTATCAAAAGGCACGTGATTTGTAATTGTATAGAACAATTTCTGCATTATCATTCAAGTTAATATAACCGTAATTAATAAGTATCGACTTCAGTCTGTTTAACAATCAATTACATACACCACTTCAATAACTCAGTAATTATCGACTTTAACTGCTGTCCCGTATCCATTTTCGTCAGGAAAAGGCTGGAATCTTTAAAGCAGGGAATCGAGAACAGGAGAAACGATGAGCCACGGGAGAAAACGTCATCTTCGAAACGATGGTTCTTTTAGTGTRAGTGCTTCCTTCAAATACAAGGCTTCCTATTTGGTTCTCGAAGGCTCAATGGTCAATGATTCTTATAAATACAAACAAGGCTCGAGTTTTAGGCTCCATCTAGTGTAATAGGGCATCTTTGTTCTCTTTTTATGCACCCACCAAAGGGAAACTGCATCCATAACACAACCGGAGTTTGTTTGTTGATTCTCATGTTACGAAGGGCTTCCAAAACTGTATACAAATTATATAAAGAAAAACTTTTGCTTTTGTTTCGAGTTTTTCTCTTCAAAATTTGCAAAAATATCCATAAAAGTATATTCTATTATTTCCTTATGAAATTCATTATAGATATTAAAAAAAATGATAATGGCATAATAAATCATTTTATTTTTAAACCAAAGCTTTCATTTATTCTATGAAAAATTAAAAACAAGAAACAATTAATAAATGTATTTTGCAAACTCCAGTTGACGTTTCGATCAACTATGTATCTATAATTTCAGCATTATGGAGGGTAGCAAGAGGATTTAATCCATAAAAATATTTTAACTTTCAAAATTCTGTTTATTAGGTCTTTAACTTAAAAAGTGTCTAAACTTTCAAATACCTAATAAAAAAAATGTCTAGAAGATTCATTAATTTTGTGTTTAATRGAATCTTATCTATCAGACATCCTTACAAAATACGGTGACCTAATAAGGTTTTAAATTTTTTTTTTTTTTAATTTTGTGTCTAATTTTTAGAGATTTACTATCATGGATGAAATTTGTAATTTATGGTAAAATGGTTTAACGAAATTAATTTGTTTTCAGAAAAAAGGAAGAATTTTCTTTTGTCATGAAAGCGCGTGCCGTGTGAGAGATCAAATCAGTGGGAGCGTGGGACAGCAGTAAAGAAAAGGGCGGATGCTGACAAAAGAGAGCTTTGTCTTTTCGTGAAGCGTGAAAAGCACATCCACTATGGCGCGTCGATAAGGGCGAAAAGAAATTACTCCACACACAATTTCCCTCTTTTGACCACTTCCTCTCCTTACGTGTTCCATTCTCACTCGCCTCTTTCAATTCCTCTCTCAAAATAAAATTGATGATTAGATTTCACTTCATTTTCTTCTTTTTATAGTTCTTCTATTAAAATAATTGTAAATATATTTATTATAAGTCAATCATGCCATTTCTTTCTCAAGAGTCGTCCAACCCCTGGTTTAATTAACGAGGCGTCGTAATGGAAGAACTGTTTGAGACTAAACCTCAATTAACGAGGCGTCGTAATGGAAGAACTGTTTGAGACTGGACATGACCCTTCTTTCCCAAACATGATTAAATCATTTAAGAACTTAAAAGCTTAAACTAGTAGATTAGGGTAAATTTAGTCCTTTATAATATACCTAACACATTTAAACATTTGTTTTTTTAAATAAGTCCTTAAATTTTAGAAGTGCATAACAAATTCTTGAATTTTAGTATTTTAATTAACCTAATTAATACAATATAATATTTAGTTCTTAATATTTCATCTATTCAGTAAGAATAAGCCTCTAAATATTTTTTAACATGATTTATTCATATTAACTTAATAAATAAATCGAGCTTACTAATAATTATGATGTAATAAAAATGTTAGGAGTTCTTGTATTGATCATTATAAAATTAAATAACCATATAATATAATAATATGTAGAAGTTTGGACCAAATTTAGTTGAAAATGAGAGAGAGCAAAATGAGATTGAAAATGAGAAATGTACTTGTGATTGTATCATCCTAACAATAAAATAAAGAAAAATATTTGGACTGTGATTTAAGTGAGAAAAAAATGTAAAAATAGATTTTTTTTAATTAATTTTTTTTATGAATGTTGTTCTAGATAGAGATAGATTTTAACCCATGGAGACTGAAAAGTACTTTCTTAAAATAAAAATGTGCGAATGAGAACTACTTTTTGTCGAAGCACTGAACCCAAAAAAAAAAAAAGTTTTTAAGTGCATTGTTTTTTGCCAAAATCAGTGGCTTTTTAAAGATTACCACTTTTGAATGCTTTTGGTGTTACTCAACCTGACAAACTTTAGGTTTTTTGTGTTACCCCATTCATTAATTACAAATCACATCAATGCAAAAATACATTTAATTCTTTCCTTCAAATTCATGGGTTTTCCAATTTTCTAATGTGCTTCAAAAATTGAATATAATTASAATTTAATCTATGAGAAACTCTCCATTCAAAAAGTAAAAAATAATTAAAATATATGAGAAACTTTTATACACATATCAATTCAGGAAATAAAGATGACAAAAAAAATGGCCGATAATGTATCTGGAATGAATGTATATGACATATTTGAAAAGATTCTTCCACCGTATTCTTAGACATTAAAAATTTCATATAGTAAAAAAWATATATATATTTATATATCTGATTTATTTCTATATCGTCTCCTAAAATATTTGTTCATTTTATAGTATTTTCGAAATCCCTCAATCATTACAACAATATAGACCAAACAATAATTTTTCTTAAATTGAAAATGATTGTGTACTTATCATGCAACTTTTGATTTGACTTGCCCACATAATATTTTTTACCTTTCTCCTTTGCGGATTTCTTATGTTAATAATTATTAGAAGATATACTTTTAGTCTTAGAATTGGGCTATTAAGACATTTTAGTTACTATACATTTATTTGTAATTATTTTTAATAACTTAATCATGCTACTTTACCAAATGCAATAATTGAGTAAATGTACTATGTTTTCTTAATCTTCTATGTTTCCATTTATTTTTCAAGTAATTTTTTTGTTTGTGGTCTCTAGATTTTAAATAGAAAAAAAAAAAGAAATAATTACCTAAGTGCATTTTGTTTCATTTTAGTATAAAAGATAAAATACTAGAGACGACCAAATTAAAATAAAGTTAAGCATATACCTAATTAATTTCGTTTAAAGAAAATAAAACACATCAAAGAAATAAAAACATTACCATCTCCTCACAAGAGATCTACCCTCGAGATCTTTTGTGAGGAAATGTTACATTTAAAAAAACACAATCTAAAACGTTAATTGAATCATATCCTCATCTTAATTAAGAGAGTTCTTCACCACATGAAACCCTAGTTTGCTAAAAAAAAAAACCAAACTTAAGCTTCCATAAATTGATTAAGATCATCAAAAACTTACTCTCATACTTGTGAATGGGAAGAAGATGGAGGATTAAAACCAGTACTCCAGTAATGGCGATCATTATTTCCTGCAAGAACTCCCCAAAATGGCTTCCCCTGATCATTAACTTGTTGTCCATTTTCTTCCATTTTCGTCGCTTCCATCTTCTTCTGAATCTGCCCGATGTTATAGCTCGACGATACGTTGGTGCCATTTCCGAGCAACCRAGCTGACGACGTCGACAACAACGGCGACAGCTGCGTGTGCTGAAGCTGAAGCTGCGGACGCCATTGGATCATTTGATCAAACCCTAAAAGGTTGGAGATCCCAATGGGATGAGTTGAATCTCCAGCTTCTTCATTTGGGGTGGAAATGGCTCTGTAATTTAATCTCATGGCCTGATCTCCTGCTGAAAGCTCTGTAAGTTGATGTTGAAAAATTAGGGAATAATTGAAATGGTTTATTTTTAATAGGGATTTGGAAATTAAATTAAAGTTTCAAATAGATGGAAATTAAACTCTTGAATATTTCTAAACCCTAGAATGTTACTTATTACTTAATGAAGTAGTCTACAAATCAAATTAATTCTTTTTCTCTAAAAAAAATATTACATTGAAATCTAAATGTGTAGTATTAAATCAGATGTGTCTTTCCCACTTAACTACGTTCTCTAGATTAACAATCAAATTAAAAGGTGATTCGAGACCAGATTTTTGTTTACAAAAGTTAACCCTGGTTAATTATTAACAACATTTTATTTTGATTATCTAAATTCCACTATGATTCTAAAAACCTTTTCTAAAAAGTGAAAAAAAAAGATACAAAGAGCCTAATGTCACAAAAAGTAAAAATGGTAGTCAAAATGGTGATTTAAAAGGGTTAAACTTTTAGATCTAAGCACTAATAATTTAACATATCAGTTCATATGATTTGTGAGATTAAAAAAGAAAAAGAAAGAAAAAGAAAAAAGAAATTTGAATATTGGCTTAAATTTTAAAATCAATGATAAGAGAAAAAAAAGTACCAGAATTAGGTTGGCATTGAGAGTTAACCGGAGATTTAGAGCTACTACTTTTGTTTCTTTTATTATTCCGGCGGTAGCCGCCGCCGACGGGGACGCTCCGGAGAGCGCCGCCTCTGGTCCAGTAGCGGCGGCAGGTCTTGCAGAAGTGGCGGGGTTGAGACAGGCTGTAATTATTGAAGTAACAAAATTTAGTGTTTGTTGATTCACATCTTGGGCACTTCAGCGCCGTCTCCGGCGCCGGCAGGTTCGCCATTCGGGCCCGATCCGCCATCGACCCAGGCCTGACCGTTACCGTGCCCGACCCTGCTCCGCTGCCAGCTCGCGGCGGCGGCGGCAACGGCAACGGGTGCGAAAGGAGCTGAAAACTAGTGGCTCCGGTGATACCACTGCCGGATTGATGGGCAGCCGCCGCTTGCTGCTGCTGAAAATATAGTTTAAGAAAAATAAAAATTGAATTTTTTTTGAATTTGAAGGTGAAGAAATGAATTGGTTGATTGAATGAATTAAATTACCTGATGCCATTGATGGGTTGGATCAAGATAAGATGGAATGGAGGGGAACACCATTGTTGTTCAGTTGCTCCCTCTTTTGTAAAAGTTTTGATGGGTTTCTAGAGAGAGAAGAGACTTTCATGTCATTATACTTTATACATTGTCACCAATTTTCTCTTTTTGTATTATTGCTTTTTAGGGTTATGATGGAGAAGACACTTTGTTTCTTAATGAACAAGCTACTTTTAATTAATTTTTGTGATTCTATAGTTGGGATTTTGGGTATGAAAGATTGTAGCAAGTAAATATTATAACAACGCAAGGAGTAGTCCTTAGTTGTTAAGATATCTCTGTTTTTTTTTCTATGTGATGTAACACTCGAACGAACATTAGAATATAGATTGGGAAGTTATATAGTGTAACAAATATCTAGACCTCTAAGAAAATAGTAAGACGTCTTAACCACGGAGTTATACTCATTGGCTTGTAAAGGAGGTTATTGATGTGTTTAACTATTTGAAATCATAATTAGGTTGGTAATTATATTAATTATAATATGATTTGGATGTGTTACATATTTTCAATATTATGGAGTAGAAACAAAAGTAGTGTAAAGTTAACTTTGAACTTTGAAGATAAAAAAATAAAATGGATTAGTTTGTGAAACAATGTTTAAGAATTTTTTTTGGAAATTTCATCTAAACTGCAATATGAAATATGATGATGAGTAAACAAAGTTTATTCATAATACTTGAATAAACCATTTTAATTGAAGTAACCACATGCTTCTAGGGATTTTTGTTTTTGAAAATTTATAATCTTTGCACTTTTTAAATCCAAAGTTTTAGGCCAAATAATATTAAGCATCCAATATGAATAATTAAATTTTACTTTAACGGTGGAAAATTTTTGTTGCATCATTATTCAATTTAAAATTGTGGAGATTTTGTTAAAACTTTAAGATGAAATTGAAGTTTAATATTGAAGATAGGAATTAAAGGATTAAATTACAAGTTTGGCACATTAGTTTTTGTACTTGGTCTTTGAATTTTTAGTCCCTACATTATTAAAAAGTTTTTTATAGCTCTGCAAGTTTTAGTTTTGTGTTTAATAAGTTATTATCAAATAAATGTTTACACGACAACTTAACTATATTATTTAAGAATTTTATGATTAGCAATGAAACATAGAGGAATAAAGCTAAAGACTAATGAAATATTAATGCTAAATTTGCCCCATTCATATGCTTACCATCCAAAATACTTATGCTCGTTCAAAATTAACCCATCACGTTTGTGTTAAATTAACGAAACTAACGAATATATATATATATATATATATAGATCTATAAGTAAAAAAATGTTAGTGAAAATAAAGAGAAATATTTATTAGTAAATTTTTAAAAATATGTAAACCAGATAGATACACATACTTATTTAAAAAATTAAAAATCAAACTTATAATTTAACAGAAATATATAGGTAATAATAATTTAATAAAAGCGGGTTTTGGTGGTTTAGGAACTCTTGCAAAAGGCAATGGACCCGACCAGATGAAGCTTTATCACACATGGGTCATGTGGGTTATTTTTCAGACAAATAATAATAATAATAAACTTTAGTGCGTGCAAGTGTTTCTATTGAATTTTCAGTTGATTAATTATTTTGAAAAATTATAAATGGATCTTTGTTTCCATTAAAAAAAATGGATATATGTTTCATTAAAGAGAATCACACTACTCTCTTTTTCCCTCCACTTTTTTTTTTCCTTTTTTTGTGTGTGAATTTGGTTTCTATTTAAAAGGGAGTGAGATTCATCCGAAATTAAGGAACATTATTTTTGCTTTTTCTTTTTAATTTCATAGACTTCAATGCTTTTCTTTTCTTTTTTTTATTTAATTTGTGGGTCTCACACTAAAACCCAAATTTGAATTTTATTCTAGATACTAAAATCATCTCGGTCTCATATTATATCAACTAGTTAAAAATATATGCCTCCGATCCTAAGATTGTGAGATCGAATTTCTATCTTCACATGTTATTGTTAAAAAAAAAAAAA